CAGGCCACAGCTAAAAATCAAATTTAAATTTATCTAAATAATAAATAACTTTAATTTAAAAAAATTTAGGTGTCAAGTGTACCTTGAAATATTGTAATTGAGTAGCACACTATATAATAATATGTGATTTCATTGATAAGTTGAAACTTTATTCCAAAATTAAATAGTTCAATGACTACTATGTTGCATAATCAGCATTTATATTATATTACACGTACACTGTTTATATTAAAAATAATCATAATTCATAAGTATCATATTACGATTGGTGGTTGGGCAGTGGGCACTATCCATCGGTTACTAGCGAGTAGAATTATAATGTACGYCATTACGATTTATACCATTAATACTAAAGGCATGAAGGTCTCTAAAACAGGTTTATGTTATTATTTGTATGAATAATACTTCACAAATTGGCGACGAAGATGGGATGCAAACTTACTCGTGCATAGCACATTAGATTGGCAAATATATCGAAATTCGGAAAACAATTACCCAATAAATTACATTCATCAGATGTCAATCCTTAGTATTATTTTTCTCTATTCAAACAATGGTATGACACTTCAACCAGTGGCGTACTAACGGGTGAGGGGATAATCCCCCCCTCAATTTTTGAATGATTAAATTTATAATGAGAAAACTAAAATTTCTGGTAGGTACCTACTTGTAAATTAATTGTATTGAACTTAGGTATAACAAATTATCCATCAAAATAAAATAAACAGCGTACATTTTAAAATACCGCGAGCGATCGGTGTAATTATTATGACAATCTTTTATCGTCATCGTAAAACATATTTTATTTTGTGCGCTTAATCAACTAGTGGGTTATTGTGTTAGCCATATTAATCTATCGTCCATGTTCATTGGCGGAAATCCATAGAAATTTCTGGGGGGGAGGGGGCTAAATTAAATAAAAAAAGACTATATTCAAATAAAATCACATTTCACATGAAACCTGACAAAAGTTTTGGGGGGCTATTACAATATTTGGGGGAGCTAAGCCCCCCCCATTTCCGCCTATGTACATGTATTTTATCAACCATTGAACCATATTATAAACTTAGTGACAAACGAAACTACAATTGCATACGAACTATTGTATATTTGTATTTGTATTAAAAAGTTTAAGTAAGTATATTAACATTTAACAATGGGAAAGTGGATAATAACAAAACGTAAAATTGATGTAGAGAATAGAGACCAGTATGATCCAAATTATAATAACGAAACAAATTACGAAGAATCGGAAATAAATGAAATTAGTTCATATAAGGCTATTATTATTATTATTATTATTATTATTAAGTAATTATAATATAATTATTATTATTACTATTGAACTCTAAAATTGAACAGTGTATTTCAAATGTTCATATTCACACACTCTGTATTATAAATGTCATATGTGTCATTATTAGCTTTTTTATCGTTTAATTTCTATAATAAGACTATATTTTTATTTTTTTATTTCAACTGTTTACGAATGTTAAACTAAAACTATTATTAATACTTAATAGGTTTAAATGAGTCAGCACTTAGTACCAGCACGGGGGAAATCGTCTGAATGGATTGGCTCATCTAAGTATTCACACAGAAATACCAATAAAAAGTATTGAAGTGGTCTATATTTTTTTAGAAAAAAGTAGAAAATTAATGTTCTAAAAAATATATCTAGATTATTATTATTTTGTTTTATATTTTTATTAAATAATTTAACATTTATTTATTTTTTATTCGTATAGTTATAAAGTTATAGTGATGACTGATTACATGTCAGTTAAAAATAATATCACAAATAAAAATTAGTAATCAGCTATTAAAATGTACGATATATTTTGTTATGTTTAGGTATAACGTCATCCAATATGTTAATTAAAAAATTTAACTCCCCCCCCCAATTTCAGGTCTAAGTACACCACTGACTTCAACCCACCAAACACACTGTATACACGACTTACACTGCACATTTTTCTCATTATATCTTAGTTTTCAAAACCCTTATAAATATAATAGTTTAAGACTTTAAAAGAATTGCTTGTAAATTCAACTTTTTTAGTTCTCTAAAATCACTATTATGCTGTGCACTTATCAAACCTATAATATTAGAATATGGGTAAATTTTTTGCTAGTATTAAATTAAATTTATCATACTCACCAGCTCAGTGCTCACGGTTATGGTCCAGTTCTCCATAAGTTAATATCCGTAGAAATCGCTTTCAATACTTTATATTTCTCCAAAAACCATTGATTCTCACTCTATTCCTTCTTTCATTCGTTGTATAGTATCAACACTCAGTAGATATACAGCAGTCATATAGGTATAATACTATCCTATTTTTTATACCTCTTCATTATATTAATTATTTAAGGAACGCGAAGTTTTTCATTCGTAACATGGAACTTGCTGAAAATTCATCATTTCATTTAGTTTGAATATCTGTTATTTAAATATTTTAACATTTAAACATTTAAACATTTATTTTTAATTTATCAACATTTTTTTTATGGGACAAGCTCATTAAATAAAACATATTAAGATAACCAAAAACAAAATTCTGAGGCTGACAATAATATTTTAGTTTAGATTAGGTAGGTGTTGAAATATTATAATACCTACATACCATAATATGTTTTACTTTTAAAAAATTCACAGGGCGAAAAAAATAAATCAACATCAAATTTGATGACATAACAAAAACCTTCTCGAGAAAAAACAATCAATAATTAATAATAAAATACATTTGAATTTTTAATCTAATAATTTTTCATATAAATACTGATCTTACCTAATAAATCAGAGCATTCAATAATGTTATTAAGAAGATCATAAATTAATAAGATATCAGTCAATGTCATATAAGTTAATATTCAACCGATTCATACCTTATTCAACTTTATCGTACTCATCTCTGTGTTTCATTATTCCATTAACAAAAAAATAATTTATTGCATACGAGGAACAAATTTGAACGGGTACAGGCTGCCAGCCTATATATTTCTAAGGATATTTTTTAATAAATTCATATGTGCCATTTGCTATTTGTAATTTATTTTTCTATTATCACCTACTACCTAATATATTAATACGTGATTGCCGGTAGGTTAAACTAACTTTGATTGTGCCAAAATTAATCACATACAGTATTAATATAATTATTATTACTTTATTTTTTCACATACTACTGTACATATCTGTTGCCTATTACAAACTAATAAGTTAATATCGGCATCCATCCTAACTAACCTATCGTAGAACGGTGTGAATAGATTTGCGTATAAATAGCTTAAAATTAAGTCTAAATATTTTTAAACACTCATTATGTTTACAAAATTATAACTTAAGCCAAAATGTAATTAAATTTGGTTTATAGGGTTATTATTTTATTTTTTTTTTGCAGTAGAGTACGCAGGATTTTAGTTAAGTTATTATAGTTTTACATGAGTAAATAATTTAAATAATAATAAAATATTTAAATAATTTGCTTAACAGTTTTGTATAATTAGTTATAACAAATTATAACTAATAATAAATTACCAATTTCATTTATATCTATCAAAAATTACCAACAATTTATAATGACTCTGTGTATTGAAATGGTGGTAAATAAGACTTTTTGTAAAATGAAACAATTTCTGGGGGATTAGAGACTTAGAGGCTAGAACCCTACCCCTGCGTACGCCACTGTTTTTTGAATTTTAACAAAATAACAAAAATTATTTAATCATGTGTGGACTTTATTTGTAATATTTTTAACATTAACATTTAATTTTAAAACTCTCATGCGATGTTTATGTGGGATTACATTACATTAACCTTTTTATCAATTCCAGTAAAAAAACTTATGCTGAATCTTGAAACCAATTTTTAAACTTCCTTACTTACAAATAAAAATTTAATAACACATACATTTTTAAAAAAAACTAAAAAAGGTAGAAAATGTTAAATATCTATTAACAGCACAAAGGGAGCAAACATACTTTGAAATTATATGATTTCAAGAGAATACCAGTTATTAATTTTTGAACTACTATAAAAAAACTGATGACTTAAAATTTGCTTGTATTTGTTCATAATCTATAAAATCATAATATTCAAATAAAAAAAAAAACATGATCTCTTTGAAACTAATAATAATAAATCATTTATTTTAAATGAATAACCACGCAAAATTTATGATTTCAAAAATTGAAAAATTTCTTTTAATTAAGTTATATAAAACTTAGACCTAATAAATATGGTTTGGCAAAATGACAATGATGAAAAATATGATTGTTAAAATTATTTATAAGGCAAAATGCAGAGTCGTCGTTTACATTATTTAATATAGATATTATACAGTTTTAAAATTTCAGGTATATTCTTTAAAAAATTGTGTAAAACATATAGGTTAGGCTAGGATATAACCTCTATAACGATGTGAAGTGAAAAAAATGCAAGTGTGATTGAATTAAATTTAAAACGTTTTTGTGTAATTTGATCTCGATCTTATCAATTAGAATCGTTGACTTAATGGTTATGTATAATGTACCTATATAGTATATATCATTGGTTTTGGCTGCATACTAATTGCGTCACGAAAAAAAGTCTAATCTCAATTGCTATTCGGGTTTTCATTCGTTATTATTAAATCCTAGCTGTAGCCCGATTAATATTTACCATTTTGATATGTGCCCTTTGGCTATCATAGTTCATAGGTATCTACTGTCGATAAATTATAATATTCGTTTAATAATAACAGTGGCTTATATGTAAATTACTATAATATTAGGTATGAGACTAAAATGGTATAAGATACCCTCGTATATAAGAAATACTCTTTAGATGATACCAGAACAAATATATATTAAGAAAAATTCAATATAACAATGGCAGGCTTAAATAGAATAATATAATATATAAAAATATATATTAAAGAATATACAAATTATAAAAAAATTTTAATAGTTTTTACCGTAACCATAATATATGTGTATGGCATAATTTGTGGAAAAAATACAATAATAAAAAAAAAATATATAACAAACATTTAAAAATAAAAAAGCTGTCAAGCATAAATAATCGCTTTTTGATGTACCCTCAGACCTCAGTCATTGAATAGAAAATAGATGTGTTAAATTTGAATTCAATAATAAACCATTGTATACGATGAAAATCGATTCTTAGCAATGCTGGTCTAACTGCATGTTTGGTAACCTGCAAGGTTAATAATATAAATATTTAAACTAATTTTTGTATTTTTTCCTTGATTAATTTGAAAAGTAGTGAAAGATTTCAATTTTGATCTTTCAAAAGTACCAAGTTGGTACTTACTAGATAAATTTGCCAATAGTAACCTGACTCAAAGTTGATGATTAGAGCATTTTTCTACCGAAAAAGTGTTTTCTRCAGACACAAAAATAAAAATATACACTGATAGGTAGTTGAAAAATCAATACATTCTTGTCTCTTATAATCTAATAAATACGACAAACAGTTAAAAAAATTGTAGATATAAATAAAATGACATTTTTAACCTACCGGCAGTAATGATAAGGTGAGGAAAATTATGTTTTGAATTATATATGTAATACATATTTCCATATTATATATTCAATAATAATACGTAATTTTATATTATTTTTTAATTAGTAAATAGTAAGTAACCATAAAAAGCTTGGTCCATAATAATTGTATGTATTGTGTATACGCCAACAATTCTTAACTTTTTATAGCCACTACTGCGGCCTTTATACGTAATTACAAATAAAAATAATAATAATTGTTAATCAAAATAATAATTTTACTGTCGTTGTAGGCACTATTAGTAGGCATGCAACATAAGTAAACACTTACAATAATTACAAAATTTAAATAATTAGAATAAATTATATAGGTATTTGAAATCATATTGGGTGTATCCGCGTATATTGTAAACTAACAATGAATGATTGAACTTCATAATTCACAAATATACCATACAAATAATTGAGTAAAAGTAATATTATATACCTATAGTGTAATGTATCTAAGACACGAGTATTATGGTTTCAATAATTATAATATAAAACAAAAGTTAAGATTATTTTTTTAAAATTCATCATAATATATAATTGTTTAATTGTTTAATTTTTATTGTACTCACTGTAAAACCTATACCAACGGTAGCAGAAAAGTTGCCAGTCTGAAATTTTCCAGTGTCAAATTTGACCAAAAGTGATGTTTTCCCCACTCCACTGTCACCTAATAAAATAGTCTGAAATATGAATATTAATCAGTAAAGTTATTTTAACACAASTACACATCTATATTCATATCGTATGTTATAATATGCATGAATGATGTTTAAAAATAGTAATTACAACATATTTTCCAATTTAAATATCTAAATCCCAGTTATAATGTAACGCCGATGTTGATATATCTCCATATACACATTATTAAAAATTATTATTTTACAAAAAGGGATAAATAAATAAACAATTTTTGTTTTTCATAATTTAATTTATTTTAATATTTAGATATTGTTAAGGACTCCGCAACTAAAAAATAAATCTATTTAAAATAAATGTATTTTTAACCTTGTGTACAATTTTTAAGGATGGATCCGAAGGTTTACTTGTGGTACTTGGTAGTTTATAATCGCTGTACCCAGTCGTCGAAGGCGTTTTATCATAATTCGGGTCTGTAGTAGATAGATTTTTGGTGTTTTGGTTAACTTCAGCCTCTTCAATGCTTTCGAATACATCGTCACTTATATTGTCATGTAGTGACATTGCTAACACCGGTGTTTTTATCTGAAAATAATGTAATTTGTGAGTTATAAATTAAACTAAATATTGATAGAGATCAATCTGCAGCAAACATAAATATATAACGCCATAACGGTGTATACTGTATACTGATATTGATATTAAAAATTCTTTATTATATCAATAAGTTAGATGACCTGGTATGTCAGAAACACTTTAATTTAATAAAAAAAAAAAAGAAAAAAGATATTGATATGTCTTATGTATATTTATATATATTTATATTTATCTGAATAAGATAAAAAACTTAAATTTAAAATGTATTAATATATTATAAATGTTGTCTCTAAAAAACTACAGTCAATATAATATTATATTATTATAATACATTTGCAATTTGTCAACTTATTTTATATCTGATTTCGTTAACAAATGTCATACAATTCGAATTACTGATCACTATCGAAAATGAAATACCTATAAGTTCCCAATCAATAAATACCAAATAATTTATTTATAATATTTAAAAAATATATACATATATAATTATGGACGAGTTAAATAATTCCAACTAAATTTACAAAAATGTACATATTATATTAGTGTATAATAATTTAATACGAAACGTTTATAAAAGACATAAACAACAAAGGTACCATATAGCGTTATACATTATACAATTATAAATAGCAATAATTAATATTAGTTGTGGGCTTGTGGCCTAGCATTTAAAACATGCTTATAATCTAAATGTAATAAATTATTATGATATTATTGATATAATATATTATTAGGTACCTATCTCATACAATTATACAAACATTACGTTTTAGACCTTTTTTATGACATTTTTTAATTCATATCAATAACGTAATTTGTTATTTTATCGTACTTATAAGTTATAATGATTTTGTAAATATTATACTTTCAATTACTTATATAATATTGCATATTATATACTCAAATCTCAAGAATTTAAGTTATAACTATTAAAATACGATTAATTCTGTAACTATAGATACTATACATAGGCGCAACTAGGAGGGTGCTTGGGGGTGCTGAAGCACCCCCAGATCAAAAATACCAAAAATGGAAAAATTATATGAAAAAGTTTTGTTTTACGTAAGGTTGTTTAAATATTGAAAGATATGTTGTTAATAAAATTACTTCTTCAGAAATAATGGAAATATATATATATATAATATATATATTCCAATATTCCACTAATAAAAAAAAAATAGTATTAGTGTAAAATAGTATATTATATATTATGTAAACATAGTATTATTACCTAACCTTTGAGATGATTGTGCCTCATGTAATTGACTGCTAAAAATGTAAATTGTATAATTATTTTGACATCAGTTATTAAAAAAAATATAT